TGGAGGGCATCTGGAGTTCTTTAGTTAGTGCATGCAGACATATGTGGGCCAATAAACCCAATCTCAAACAGCAAAAAAAGGTATTTCATTACCTTTATTGATGATTTTAGCAGAAAAACTTGGGTTAATTTCTTGGTTGAAAAATCAGAAGCGTTTGCTACTTTTAAATCCTACAAAACTAAGGTTGAGAAAGAAACCGGTGCATTCATAAAGTGTCTTCGAACTGATCGTGGGGGAGAGTTTACTTCACAAGAGTTCACTCACTTCTGTGATGAGAATGACATTCAAAGGAAATTAACAGCTGCATACACACCTCAACAGAACGGGGTAGCAGAGAGAAAGAATCGCACTATCATGAATATGGTGCGTAGCATGCTGTTAGAGAAACAAATCCCAAAGAATTTATGGCCTGAAGTAGTGAATTGGACAGTGCATATCTTGAATAGAAGCCCGACCCTTGCCGTGAGAAGCAAGACCCCAGAAGAAGCTTGGAGTGGGTTCAAGCCTTCAGTCAATCACTTTCGGGTTTTTGGGCGCATTTCCCATGTTCATGTACCTGATAGCAAGAGAGTAAAGCTTGATGCCAAAAGTTTGAAATGCATATTACTTGGGGTAAGTGAAGAATCCAAGGCTTACAAATTATTTGATCCTATTTCTCAAAAAATAATTGTGAGTTGAGATGTGGTCTTTGAAGAAGACCAAAGGTGGAACTGGGATGACAGTCACAATGAAACTATTTTGGCTAATTTGGAATGGGAGGAAGATGAAGATACAGGTACAAATGAAAGCTTTGGGGAGGAAACTGAAGCAAATATCACTCCTGAAAATGAACTTGAAAACATAGGGTCTGTTCAAAGTAACTCACTCGAAGGGGGAGAGTCTTCAAGTGATGGCAGTCCTCTTCATAGAGGATGAGTTCGAAGACCGCCAGGGTGGATGCAAGATTATGAAAGTGGGCAGGGCCTCTCCGATGAAGAAAATGTCGATATGGTTGATGTAGCCTTATTCTCTGATCGTGATCCCTTGACATACGAGGATGCAGTGAAGAGTAGCAAATGGAGACAAGCCATTGACGCTAAAATCATAGCTATTGTGAAGAATGATACATGGGAACTCACCAAGTTGCCATCTAGAGTGAAGACAATTGGAGTAAAATGGGTTTTTAAAATGAAACTCAATGAACATGGGGAAGTGGACAAATACAAGGCTCGGCTCGTTGCGAAAGGGTACAGTCAGCAGGATGGAGTGGATTATGCCGAGGTATTTGCACCAGTAGCTCGTTTGGATACCATTCGAGTAGTCATCTCACTTGCTGCCCAGAAAAGCTGGATGATCTACCAAGTAGATGTCAAATCTGCGTTTCTGCATGGAGATATAGATGAAGTAGTGTTCGTGGATCAACCGCCAGGTTATGAACAAAAGGGATAGGAATATGAGGTATATCGACTGAAGAAGGTTTTGTAAGGACTCAAACAAGCTCCTCTAGCTTGGTACAGTCAAATAGAGACCTATTTTGTTCGAGAAGGCTTTGAGAAGTGCCCTTATGAGCACACTTTGTTCTTAAAAACGGCAGATCGAGGTAAACTTTTGATTGTGTGCCTTTATGTTGATGATCTTATATTTACTGGTAATGATGAGGTTATGGTTGAATTTGACATGACTGATCTTGGTAAGATGAGGTATTTTCTTGGAATTGAGGTTTTTCAAAGGGTGGATGGTATATTCATCAGTCAACGGAAGTATGCTAAGGAGGTTTTGGAGAGATTCAATATGACTCAGTGCAATCCAGTGCTCAATCCAATGGTTCCTGGAATTAAACTTACTAGGGATGAAAATGGAGTAAGGATCGATGGGACATTTTACAAACAGATCGTGGGAAGCCTTATGTACTTGACTGCCACTCATCCCGATTTGATGTTTGTAGTAAGTTTAATTAGCAGATACATGGAACGACCCACTGAAACTCATTTGCAAGCAGCGAAGAGAGTGTTAAGGTACGCGAAGGGTACAGTCAGTTTTGGAGTGTTCTACAAGAAGGGAGGAACTAAGGAACTTGTTGGCTACACAGATAGCGATTACACTGGTGATTAGAACGACAGGAAAAGCACCTCTGGTTATGTTTTTATGCTGAGTTCAAGTGCAGTATCGTGGTCTTCAAAGAAACAGCCAGTAGTCACTCTTTCAACTACCGAAGCAGAGTTCATCGCTGCTGCATCTAGTGCTTGCCAAGTTGTGTGGCAAAGGAAGATCTTGGAGCAGCTTAATCATGGTCAATACAAACCAACGGTGGTTCACCGTGATAACATCTCAGCCATTAAACTGTCAAAGAATCTAGTCATGCATGGTCGCAGCAAACATATTGATGTGCGTTTTCATTTTCTTCGAAATCTCATCAAAGATGAAGTTGTTGAATTGGTATAGTGTTCTACACATGAGCAAATTGTAGATATTTTGACAAAGCCACTAAAGCTCGAGGTGTTTGTGAAGATGCGTGGACTTATGGGTGTATGCGAATATCCAGGGATAAACTGAATGTTGATAGCATTCAGTTTTAGGGAGGACGTTAAGTTGTTTGGATTCTGTAACTGATAGATTTCGGGTTTCCTGGTTTTTAGGATTGTAGTGTTTTGAAGTCATGCATAATAATCCCTACTCTTAAGGGACAAGTTATTTTCTGTTTAGACTTAGTCATGCACCACGATTCTAGGGTTGTAAAGTCGTGGGTTGTTATTTCCTTTCCTGTTTGATGTAAGGCTATTTAATAGCTATGTTGGTTCTTTAATTTAATAAGAAAGTTCTCCCTACATCTGAGAGTTATCGTGCTGTTGTTTCTGCAAAGTTCTTTGTTGTTTCACTTGGTTCTAACAATTGCACTCTATGGTTTGAGCTACTAATCCTAAACGTGATTTCTTGCATAGATATTAAGACCTCTAGCTCTGGTGCTTACACCCTCCTTCCCTGTTCATGTTTTTTTGTTTTTTTGTTTTTTGGGCTTTTGGTTGGGTTTTCCTATTGCCGTTCATTGATTGGTGGCTGCGTTCTACATGGTGCATTAGAGGATTTGATTTCGGTGAAGCAATGGTGGATCCAGAATTCAAAATCCGGTCGGACGAAATTTACATTAAAAACTCAGTATGAGTGAATTTCATTAATAAACATATAGAAAGATACACCTAGTCAATTGACGTAATGAGCATTACCCTCAAATGAATCTCTATATATAAATAAAAGCTTATAGAAAACAAAAACAAAAACAACAAGTAAATGCAATGCAACACAAAAATAATAGCACAAGCTCACCCACAAATATTAATATATTATCAATATCAACAAATAATCAAAACTCATACTATACAACTCATTTTCAAACCTCGACATTGCCTTCTCTTGGCACGGCCTTCACTTGCCTTGGCATTGCATGGCCTTCTTTGAGGCAGGAATGGGGAAGGAGGAAAGGGAAAGGCGTTGGGGAAATGAGAGGGATAAGACAAGTGTAGAGGAAGGGATGAGGGGATGAGGGGCGGTAATCACCTTCCCTTGAGCTTATGGGGTTTTTTTGGAGGTTTGGATGCTTGTCGACAAGAGAGAGAGAGGTCTGGTTTTTGTAAACCAATCCTTCGATCACCTCACTAGCCATCAAATCACAATTCTCAAAAAAAATTTCATGATGACAACATTTTTGGAGGTAAATTACAATAATAATTTCCAGATGCTAAAACAATAATGATAATAATAATTATTATTATTAATTCAGAAATCAAACATATTTTTGAATTTTGTTTAATTCAACATGGCCACTTTATATATATTTTTATTAATTATATATGTTATGTATCTGATTGTCATATAATTAATCGAGTGTCACTAGGTAATTCTAGGTGGTCTTCTATATTGTGGGGGCATCATTGTAAATAAATGCTTGAGAAAGGGCAATGGTGTTTTTTGTTATTTGTTTTTGCTAGGGGTGGGCATCAATCCGGCTGATCCGGTTAATCCGGCCGAACCGATTATATTGGATTGGATTGGTTTGGTTTTGACCAAAGAAAAAGTCAACAGTTTGAAAAACCGAACCGAACCGGTTTGGTTTGGTTCAGCTGCGGTTTGGGAGTTTTAAAAACTGTCCTAAACCAAACCGGACCGATTATAAATCAATTTATTATTTATTTAATTTAGTTTACATGTGGCAAGGCTTGAGTGGCTATTTAGAAGTGTACCATGTACCCTACAACACTTGATTGGACTCCAAAACTACAACTCACGGACACATCTACCCATTCTCTCTCCCTCAGATTTCTCTTAGAGCCTCTCTCCTATCTCCTTCCTTCCTTCCTTCGTCTCTTAACCCTAGCCGCAACTCCCTCTCATTATTTCTCCATCTCTCTCTGCTACCTCTCCCTCTCTATATGCCTCTCTACTACATCTCCCTCTCCCTCTCCCTCGACGCTAACTCAAGCCAACATGATTCGAACTCGGCGAAACCCACCCATTCGCCCTCAGCGAAATCCATCTCTGCAAAACCCAAGTTCCATCATCGACCATCAGGTTCTGCAAGGATTGATTATGGGAATATTGCTGGTGGTGGATCGTCATCATCAGCTGGGTTTGTATTCAACTTGCTCCCAATGCAACAGAGTACTAGTTCTCTGCAGCCATCGCTATTTAGAACGGAAGGTCGTGGGTGGGGTCTTTTAGCAAATGAGAATATGAAGGTAATAGCTTACCATTACTAGGAACAACTGTAAACTGACATCTCATTACTTGGATTCTCTGCTATTCTATTATTTACTGGATTTGATTATATACATATATTACTGGGTTTTAGGCAAGTGCATCTTGTTCTGTTATTTATCTTTGGCACTTTTGTTTGACTCCACTGAGAACATTGAAGCTTTATAAGTTTATGATTGAACTATAAATAATTTATTTATAGTTTGTTCATATGTTGAGTGAATTTTTAATCTCCTGTAAGTTTTTTAATTTTCTCTGTACAATGTTTGCAGAGCAATTTATTATCAAGTACTATGGAGAAGTGATATCATGGAAAGAAGCAAAGCAAAGATCTCAAGCTTATGAAATTCAAGGTGATTTAATAGACTTATGAAATATATGTCTGTATTTATTTTGAAACTGCGTTCAATGTTGGATTTTCTGTGTGAGGGATGCGATTACAGAGCTTGTGTCATACAATATTCTTATGAAACCCATTATTGTTGTTTTTATGTGCAGAATGAGTATCAACAGAGAGGGGGAAAAGTTCTATTTTACTGTTTTGATGTGCAGAATGTTGTGTTGAATCTGATGGGGCTGCTGTTTGGAAGGATTATCACTGTTTTTTAAATCATGATTTGTAATAACTATATAATTAAGCACAATAGGATTGTATTTATTTGAGAATCATGTTCTGTAATAATTTTATTGCTTGCAACTTCTTTTCTTTCGTCTGTTTTTTCTTTGCCTCTTTGGGTTGTATGATTAATGAATGTTTTATGTGTTTGATATTAGGGAACTTGAGAATGAACATGTTCGGTGACATGAAGAAAATGATGTTTTCTTTTATGCCTAAACCAGCCGAACCAAACCGCACCAAACCGGATATGAATGGTTTGGTTTGGTTTGGTTTTCATTTTGATTTTAGCTCAAACCGAACCACACTGGACCGTGAAAGTTTAATTGGTTCAGCTGTGATTTGAGGGTGAAACCGGACCAAACCGGATCGTGCCCACCCCTAGTTTTTGCCATGTCAAGGAGATTGCATTAATGAAAAACCCAACTAGGGCAATACACATACAATCCCACAAAGGAGGTTAGCCATCACCCAACAAAGGGTTACAACCAAAGCAGAGGGATCTATCGACAATATTCAGCTTCTACGTTACAACTCCAAACGTCATGCGACACGATCGAGGAAATCCGACGAAAATTTTTACCGGTCTGCCATGAAAGCAGCCTTTACGTAACTTAAGGACAACACAAATATCCTAGATAGACACCCAAACTACGCAGAAGTTGTTGCACTTATTACAAAACACACCTAAACCCAAAATTCTCTCGAAGAGAAACCCAAACCAGCGTCACTGCTATCACCTCTATCGAGACAGAGGCTAACACCTGCCACCCAACACCACGTAGCCGCAACCCCTACAATCACAACCAACATAAAGTACCTGCAAACAAAAACAACCAATAAACCCACAATCCAAACAGATCCGGGCTAAAAACAACCAAGATCTAAAGCGCCCCTAATACTCCAACTTCACCACAACCTAGTTTGCCAAGCAACCACCCTTAATGTAACCTAAGGATAGCCTAAATCTCCTAGAGAGACACCCAAACCACGCAACAACCATGTGAAGTTGTTGCACTTATTACAAAACACACCTTAACCCAAAATTTTCCCGAAGAGAAACCCAAACCGACGTTGCTTCTATCGCCTCCATTGAGACAAAAGCCAACACCAGCCAAATGACACCACGTAGCCGCAACCCCTACAATCACAGCCAACAAAAACAACCATCAAACCCACAATCCAAACAAATTCGGGCTAAAAACAACCAAGCATAATAAAGCAAAGTACCAACATGTTTCCTTTTTTTTTTTTACAAAGACTAATCCCATTAATTGGGGAACTTTAGTAGTACCTTCCATTTCCTTCACACTCTTGTTTCTTTCTCTTAGAAGCTGTTTTTGATCCTTCAACAGTTGACCATTTCGGGTTTATTAAATGTGAGAGCAAGTCCTCCTGAGGAGCAACAACTCCACGTAAATCATCTATCATGTCCTTAAAGAAACCCATATTATATATATCCTTAACCAAAAAAACAAGTGAAAACTGGAAAATAATTTCTTCTCCATCATTTCTTCACTTTCTCCTTCTCCACTGCATCATCTTTGCTCTCCTCCTCAATAACCTTTCTTGTGCTCTATCAAGCATATCCAATACCTTATGAGATATTAAAAACAACAATCACAGTCACCACTTTCTCAGAGTTATTGAAAAAAATTAGAAATGAAATAAATACAAGAAGAAGGAATTCTTACAGATTTATATGGAGAACCATGAAGATGGGCTTGATGTAGTGTTTTGAGGACATCATGAATATTATTTTTTTGGTTACATTGGGAGGAAAGAAACCCTTTGGGGTTTCAAATCTAGGTGTCAAGCAGTGGGGAAGGGGGAGGCCACCACTGAGGACATTATGAACATTCACTGCACAATCATCTTTGTCTTCTTTCTCTTGCAAATTCTTCCCATATGCTATTCTCACGAGACAATCCAACTTTCTATCCATTTCTTTGAGTTTCAAAGTCGCTCTTTCATTCTTCTCACGTAGAATAGTTCTAACCTCCACCTAGAATTCACGTTTCTACTTTTCAGGATCTTCTTTGAAGTTTTTGATCCAAGCAACATTAGCAACAACTCGGCCTAGAGTCATTATTGTCAAACAAAGCAACAATAGCAGCTACTGAAAATTTGCCCTACTTTGTACACCATGATGTCTTTGGGACCGGCTACTGCAACTGCTACTTGGATAAAAAAATTCAAGGAAGATGTTGAGAAGCTAAAAGGTGAATTACAGAATGAGGTGAAAATTCTTATATGTAATGAGGATGATGTTAGATATATACCCTAGAAGCCAATATAAAATAGATAATTCTAAGGAAATAATATATAGTAGTAAAGGGGCAAGAACGTTGCTTTATATACACAACGTACACAAAGTAACAAGTCCATGAATTAAGATATAAATGGAAAGTGGTCTGAAGAAGTTAGATGCATGAGACCTTTCCATACATATGAATATCGTATCCTAAAATGTTCCTGGTCATAGGATCACCAATTGGACAATGACGATCCACATAGACTTGTACACATTATGTCTGCTCAATTGGGAGGATGACTAGTCTCAAGTCATTCGTATAGAGACACTAAGACAGATGTATAGGTGCTCTATAGAAGATGGAGTCCACTGAACACGATCAACTCTAGAATTATTGTATGGAAGTCTTACTCACAACTGTCAAACAAAGAATTCTAAGTTGTGATAATGCAAATCAATCCTTAGACCTGAGACATCACAGTTGTCTTGTGTATATGTTGTTTCTCTTTGAGAGCACTATACGGTCGTATCAAAATGATGTGACTTAAAGATGTTCCTTAGGATTCTTCACATGTATGCAAAGACAGGTGAATATACAATAATGAATCTCTGCTCTTAGAAGAAAGAGAGAATACTCTAAAGATATGATTCGTGAATCTTTGGCCAAAGTATTGGATGAAAATTGAAACAAGTACATTTGCAATTTCATCAAATTGAATCATATAATATAGAGATGTCATATTAGGGATTTTGACACAAGTTTACCATATCCCGAGAATATGACATAGAGTATTGAATTAGAGAAGGATTGAATTGCATTGTAATCACAAACTGACTAGGTTCTCTAAATGAATTCTTTTTAGCTTAGGTAGTCATGACATATTGTTAGGTGTCACTCATGACTTGTGAAAGCCTTGTAAGGACTAATTATAATTAGCATTCACCAATAAGGAGAATTGTATGGAGGGATACAATTCACACTTGATTCAGAGTGAATCATTCATACATACTGCCTCGCTAATTAGAACCTATAAGATCACACACCGAAAAGGAATCAATTGGGAAATTATGAAGAGAATGAATGATTTTGTGACTTGGTCAAAGTCAATGTGAAAGTCAAAAGTCAAAGGTCAAATGGTTGACCAGACACTTGACACGGTCAACTAAGGATGATCGGGACCAACATTCGTTAGACAAGTAAGTGATTGAATTAGTCAAGTCACTAGAGTAATTAAATTGATTAGATTAATTTAATTATTCAATTAAAATTATGAAACTTTAATTAAAGGTCCCATATGACTTGGAAATTCAAAAGGGATTTGACCACATGGACTTAGGCACATATGTGACACATTATAGGATTAATGTGTTGGACCAAGATAGCAAAAGATGACACACAAAA